CCACTATCGTTGGAACGATTGACACGCTTCAAAAATGGACTCTCTTGCTTCCGGTTCCTGTCTTGCATTCAAGTTCTCCAATGATGCATTGCATTGTCATCTAGCAACACTGAAGTGACTGTTGTCATGCCGACTACAGGGGGGTGAGCTCTAGTCCACGCTGCTGTCAAGGTAAATGGAATATTTGGACTGAAAATGATAAACAAATGACAACATGTGAACACGACAAGAATACGTGACGTCACTGTCAAACAAACACTCTGCTCAAAGTTCAAGAGTGAGCTTTGCCTCGTTAATCCGGACACGTGTTTTTTATATTCATACAACAATTATACTATCAATACAGAAAATGGTTCTATTCATTTCAAGGACTCACACAACTAAATCAGTCAATCAATAATTGTTTCTTATGATTGTAATCCCTCCATAAACATTGTTCCGGTTAAATACAGTGCCTTTGAGTAATTTAAATGTGTAAATATAGACATATTTGTTACTTAATGAAATCTACAGACTTTGGACAAATGCATAGTTTTAGTTGATTTTAACATATGATGGCGAATTCATATGAGGACAAAAGTCAGTGAGTGTTCCCGACCCGCTTCACTGGTTTTGCTTGTAAACTTCCGGTTGTCAAAAGCAGAGGTATGTAGCGATCTTATATATGCCATTAAACATCTAGTGTTGAACTTTAAAGCTTTTTGCTCAAAAGCTTAGTAATAACATATAGTAAATTATTTAGTTGTGTGAGTTCTTAGAGGCAGAAACGAAACCGTCCGGAGTAACGAGGTTTTAGTACGTCGAACCTGTGTTAAGAGTCCACACTCGGGAAGAACATAAAAGGTGGTCTCTTAAGCCAGGTGTTCTACTTTTATACAGGTTCAAAACACAACAAAATTACTACAGTTGGGAACATTAAATGTGCTGGACTCTTAACGAAGGTGGTCGCTAAAGGAGGTTTTACACTGAATATTGTTTGTTTCCATTGACAAAATTGACCAATTTTTATGGTCATTATGTTTGCTTAACAAGTATAGCATTAAATATAGAATACAATCGTTTTATACTGTGCATGCTTAATATACACATCCTCATTTTATATATTGAAGATTTATTATACTATTATCCATCAATATGTTTTATTGCAAAACGAATTCTGCGATTTTTCTCTCTCGTTAAACACAGTAGAAAAAACAACAAAACAAGAATAGCAGATAATTTGAAATTCTGGTAGAATAGGTTATGCGTCATTTCCTGTAAATGATGTCTGGAGAAATTAAACATTTAAAACTAATTTTCTGGGTAAATAATATTATCACTTTTACGTCGTTCCGTCCGCATGGTGGACGATCTTAATTCGGATAAGCGAGGTTTCACTGTATACAACATGCACGTAAAAATCTCTATGAGATATGCACATTTGTAAATATAATTTATAAAGCCAAATCATTTCGTCATGTCGGGGATGTTTGGGGCCGTATCAAAATGCAGGGAGAATGTCTATTCGATTTATCAGAGTTAAAACTTCATAGACGTAAATTCATAGGGCAGAAACATTACTTCGGGATGACAGGTGTTCGACATATCAGAGTAAGTATAAACATATAGAATAACAAGTCAAAAGACAAACATACAACTTCGAATACACTGGTGTTCGAGTTATAAGGATAAGAATTAGATATAAGATATATGTTTTAGTTCGGGATAAACCAGTGTTCGACACAGGAGAGTAAGAATGCAGTATAGAATAAAATGTCAAAAATCGAACATATCATTCCGGTTGAGTAAGAGTCCATAAGGAGCTTGACTCACACCAACGTAGGATATTTATTAGCTCTATGTAAGTGAAATAATTTCTGTCTTTGTTTCTTAATTGATGTGTTAATAGTTATAACAACAGTGATTGCGTCTTGTGGTAATGTTTGATCAAAATGTGTCATTGTTTTATGAAAATAATATTGTCGTTTGACCTATTTACTAGAATAAGCATGTGTAATAATTAAAACAAGACGGATATCTGGCAGCCATATTTTTATTTCTGGTCATGCTGCTTTAAGTCAGAAGGAAATTTGCAAAACTAGGGGACAGGAATAACATAATACAGAACTTTGAGAAAAATATGTACGTAGGTTCTTTCCGAGAAATACTGATAACAAACTTTCGGTAGTTCATCGTCCTGTACATTGTTATACTGTAACAATAATTCACATACTTGTCATTGCGCGAAAACACACGCAATCTATTGGAATATTATTAATCATACGTTAGAATAATAATTTGATATGCATGTGTCTTGATATTACAGTGTGTATATTGATATTCATGTATTGATTAATTTGCCATTACATCCACGAAACAGAAAATAACCGTAATATTTTTAAGCGTCAACATATTACCTTAGTATTTCTTAAGTACTCATTGGTCCGATTTGTTTGTCAGGATATCACCTAAGTAACCATGTGTCAGTATGTATGTGACCTTGGTATATTGCTTTAACATCAATGACACATACTATTGCCGCATTACATATTATCAAGAATAATGCCTTAGTATTTAAGCGTCAAAATATTACCCTAATATTTATTAAGTACTCAATTGTCAGATTCATTTGTCAGAATATTACCTTCGTTATTCATTTGTCAGGTTAATGCCTTAATATTCATGTGTCAAAAATTACTTCAATATTTGTCAGAATATTGCCTTAGTAACAATGTGTCAGTATATTACCTTGATATTCATATGTTGGTTAATTGCTTTTATATCCCTGAAACAGAATATAAAAGCAGTATTTATTTTCAAGATCAGTGCCTTGCGTCAAAATTTTACCGTGGTTTTTATATGTCAGAATATATCTTTAGTATTCAATTGTCATAGTAATTTTTCGACATGTGTCAAAATATCACTTAAGTATTTATTTGTCAGAATATTTCCCTAGTATTCTAGTCTCAGAATATTACCCAGTTGTACTCACGTGTAAGAATTCTACCTTAGTGTCTAGGTTTCAGAATATTACCTTAGTAAGCATATGTCAGAAAACTGCCTTAGTAAGCATATGTCAGAACATTACCTTAGTAACCATATGTCAGAACATTACCTTAGTACCCATATGTCAGAATATTACCTTAGTAACCATATGCCAGAATATTACCTTAGTAACCATATGTCAGAACATTACCTTCGTAACCATATGTCAGAATATTACCTTAGTAACCATATGTCACAATATTACCTTAGTAACCATATGTCAGAATATAACCTAAGTAACCATATGTCAGAATACTACCTTAGTAACCATATGTCAGAATACTACCTTAGTAACCATATGTCAGAATACTACCTTAGTAACCATATGTCAGAATACTACCTTAGTAACCATATGACAAAATATTACCTTAGTAACCATATGACAGAATATTCCCTTAGTAACCATATGACAGAATATTACCTTAGTAACCATATGTCAGAATATTACCTTAGTAACCATATGACAGAATATTTCCTTAGTAACCATATGTCAGAACATTACCTTCGTAACCATATGTCAGAATATTACCTTAGTAACCATATGACAGAATATTACCTTAGTAACCATATGACAGAATATTACCTTAGTAACCATATGTCAGAACATTACCATAGTAACCATATGTCAGAATATTACCTTAGTAACCATATGACAGAATATTCCCTTAGTAACCATATGACAGAATATTACCTTAGTAACCATATGACAGAATATTTCCTTAGTAACCATATGTCAGAACATTACCTTCGTAACCATATGTCAGAATATTACCTTAGTAACCATATGCCAGAATATTACCTTAGTAACCATATGTCAGAACATTACCTTCGTAACCATATGTCAGAATATTACCTTAGTAACCATATGCCAGAATATTACCTTAGTAACCATATGTCAGAACATTACCATAGTAACCATATGTCAGAATATTACCTTAGTAACCATATGTCACAATATTACCTTAGTAACCATATGTCAGAATATTACCTTAGTAACCATATGTCACAATATTACCTTAGTAACCATATGTCAGAATATTACCTAAGTAACCATATGTCAGAATACTACCTTAGTAACCATATGACAAAATATTACCTTAGTAACCATATGACAGAATATTTCCTTAGTAACCATATGTCAGAACATTACCTTAGCAACCATATGTCAGAATATTACCTTAGTAACCATATGACAGAATATTTCCTTAGTAACCATATGTCAGAACATTACCTTAGCAACCATATGTCAGAATATTACCTTAGTAACCATATGTCACAATATTACCTTAGTAACCATATGTCAGAATATTACCTCAGTAACCATATGTCAGAACATTACCTTAGTAACCATATGTCAGAATATCACCTTAGTAACCATATGTCAGAATATTACCTTAGTAACCATATGTCAGAATATTACCTTAGTATTCAGACAGAATATCACCTATAGAGTATCCATGACAGAATATATACTCAGTACCTGCGTGTGTCGGAGTATTACCTTAGTACACATGCGTTGGTATATTGCTTTTACCACAAAATGTTCATCTCACACCAAGGAAAACAGTCGACCATTCCCTTCACAGAATGAGGCCAGGTTATCATTAATGCATACAAAGAACTCAACTGTGACTTTGATCGACATTTATAACTCAATACAATCAAGTGAAGTTTATCAAGACTTGATATGTTTGATTTAACTCATTCACCCTTGAAATTCCATAATGGACTATTTCAATCTTTGAATTGAAAGAGTTCAAATGTGTCTTCTGGGGTGAATGAGTTAATAAAACATCTTTGAATAGTCATTTATTATTTTGGTCGGTTGTGTCCAAACAATATTTGGATGTAATGACGTCATAACTATCGGCAAGAAGCATAATTAAGATATCATACCAGAAAGAAACAAGGCTTTGCATATACTTGGCTGATCAGATATTCAAAGCAAAACAAAAATATCTAAAATAGTAACTTACTCTCCGGTCTGTGACCTCTTCGGAAGCTGGGGATTCCCTGTCGGTTCTGTTGGCGAGCTGGTTTTGTAGATCTACGATCTGAAAGAATAAAATTAGTTTTGCATATTTTACAAATAAGTTAATCATACGAAAGGAAGTGAAGCACATCACCAATAGACATTCGCTTGAGCTACACTTTATCTGCAGAAAGAAATTGCGGACCACGATGTCCCGGATTGGTGAAATAGAAATGGTGAATTAATTGATTTTATTTATTTATCAAATATCAGTATCCAGGAAACATGTTTGTCGGATTATTGAAGTCCGAATTAACTATATTCGGATCATTGTATCAGCAGCTTTAATAATGAGTTTGAATGGTTGTAATACTAATAATATTAATTCGAGGTTCTTATATACCGCTTTATCACAACCTAGTTCGTAGGTCGTCTCAAAGCGGTTCACATATTATTATCCGTGGTTTTAGAGCCTTTACAACCAGACAATATTTTTCTCAACTCCCTAGGGAGCATACAGCCGGTGCTGCCATTTCGGCACTCACTCCTAGCATTCAACAATTCTAGTACTGCCCAACCACGTACTAATTTACAGCTGAGTAGATTTGAACAAGCAGAGATAAGTAACTTGCTCAAAGATACAAAACAGTACCGTTATGCGACTCGAACCCACAACCCTTCGGTCACGAGCCAGGCGTCCTACCACTAGACTATCCTACCTCCAAGATGTATGATTCATACCATCATAAATGTTTATTCGTTTAGTACAAAAAGAAAACGAAATCTTATTTCATGTTTCTGTGCATTTGTTATGGTTTAAAATATATTTTAAATAAACTGTTGAGGAGCCATTTTTGTTTGAGCAAGATTGTCTTTTCTATAGTTACAATGTGAAAATAAAAACATTTTGCATATTAAAGGTGGACATTTTCCAATAACAGAATGTTTGGGTCTTTCAAATAATACTGTTAAAGTAAGCAGGGACAACTGTCGTGACGTCATAGTATCAAATAAGTCGCATCTTAAAAAAATATGTAGTAGGTCTTTTCTATTCATGAGCCTGCACGAAACAAGTTCTTAGATCTATTCCTGAGCCTGCACGAGACAAATTCTTAGATCAACCAAATGTGCTATTTTTTCATTTTGTGATAAGAAGAAAAAATAATAGGGATTTAGAAATCTTGTTTAATGAAACATATATATATTTCTTCTATTTTGGATTTATTTCAAATTGATAGAATACATAGTAGTTATTTACGCCAGCCTGGTTTTCTCAGCAGGTCAAATGTTGTTAAAGGCTTACAACACATACAATGCATTTTCTAGGCATTAAACAGGGAAATGTAAATACAGAAGTATGATATCATTTATATTACATCTTTGTCCTAAAAACTGGGAACAAATTGGTTGATCACGCTTTATATTCGTGTTACATACGCCCTGTGAATCTGGTTACACCACTCTCAAGCCAATCCATGTGTATAAGATCCACCAAGTTATGTAAAAATATATTAAAAATATTAACAGTTTTTTATGCGACACATCGTATCAGAATTATAACGATTCCTGTGGGGCTGATATAACGGCTGTACATGTATCTACTTAATATATAGTTACAAGCAATTTTGAGGTCCCCAGAAGGGACCGCGTGCATCGCATCTAAAATGCATATTATATCGACAACAGTGTAACCAGTAGACCGTAAACAGTTGGTAAGAGTTAAAACCCATTAATTGACTCATTCACCCCTGAAATTTCATAATGAACTATTTCAACCTTTGAATTGGAAGAGTCAAATTGTGTCTTCAGGGGTGAGTAAGTTAATCAAATCAACTTTTCGTAATGCCACACCAGAACAATCATCAACCTCAAAATTGCATATCGATTTAATTAAAATTTCAGATATTTTTTGTCAAAATATTTGAAGGAATTGCATTTTTCACAGACACTTTTTTTTAGGATCATACGTAATGTAATAAATGTAATCACAATTATTTAAATACTTTACGAATCATACAGGTTATAATGTTTATATAAATGATACTGAACAATGTACTTATCGTAGTGTGTATATAAATGATACTTGTTATATTATAGATCATAATAATTATAATGCTTATATAAATAAAACTTATTGCAGTGTTTATATGAATAAAACTTTTGTATGTATTATATATATATCAAACTTATTGCAGTGTTTATATGAATAAAACGTTTTGTGTATTTTATACATATCAAACTTATAGCAGTGTTTATATGATTAAAACTTTTTGTTGATTCTCTATATATTAAACTTATTGCAGTGTTTATATGATTAATTTTGTTTGTGAATTATATATATATCAAAATTGCAGTGATTTCATTAAAAAATACTAATTGTCATGTTTATACATGTATAAATAATATACAATATCATTTATAATCAATATAGTGTTTATAAACTTGTTGCAGTATTTTTATAAATCAAACTTATTGCAATGTTTATATATATAAGACTTATTCATTGTGTTGGTACACATAAAACTTATTGCAGTGTTGATATAAATAAAACTTATTGCAGTGTTTATATAAATCAAACTTATTGCAGTGTTGATATACATAAAACTTACTGCAGTGTTTATATAAATCAAACTTATTGCAGTGTTGATATAAATAAAACTTATTCATTGTGTTGATATACATAAAACTTACTGCAGTGTTTATATAAATCAAACTTAATGCAGTGTTTATATAAATCAAACTTATTGTAGTGTTTTTATAAATCAAACTTACTGCAGTGTTTATATAAATCAAACTTACTGCAGTGTTTATATAAATCAAACTTATTGTAGTGTTTTTATAAATCATGATTAAATGATACCAAAATGTTACCCATATTTCTTGTAGAGTGCATATAACTGAACTACCAAAATCTTTTTTTGATGTTACTGATGATAGGAAAATAAGGAATTTATAAAACATAACCCAAAAACAACGAAATTCGTAGACAAATATGAGTTTTGTACTATGTTTCATATATATACAGAACACTCTAAACTGGACTGTGGAATCCAGATTTTTATCTAAACCGTCCAAGATGAAATTGGTAGATAGATATACAGATACTCATATAGGTCCGTTGGCTACATATTTGGACGACCTTCCGCCATGGGAACACGTTGGAACTGCACCAAGACCACTCAGTGTGCGAGCATGTGTTTGGCATCTGTTCTAGATGCACGTGATATATGTTTACACGTGAATTCATAGAAAGAAAAGTATAGTTAGCTTTCTGTAGTGTAACATTACATATATATTCCGTACGACGGATCTTTTAATATCCTCCAAATTCTAAAATCATTTTGTCCCGATTTTCGGGATTTCAATTTAAGATCATATAACCTAGCCAATGGATTTGATTAATTACCTTAATGTGTTAGTTAAAACTAGACAGTTTTATAATAACTTTGTCTGCAGTATACTGTATGAAAGTAACGAAGCGAATGGCTTTTTGTTACGTCTGCGTGGTAGCTACCAATACATGTACTTACATACATATCGACATCACAGTTTGCGTATATCTACTGTATACTTTGATTATCAATCTACTGTGTATACACTGTAAATATGCAGTCATGGAAAACAAATCTAGGTCCGTTATTTATAGAATGAATTATGTAGAACCACAAGAAAATCATAAATACAGTCTCGAGAAAAACCCTAGATCCGTTATTTATACGTCAGGAAGAAGAGAAAAAAAGTAACGAGAAAAATAGGTATGCAGTCTCGAGAAAAAAACTAAGGTCCGCTATTTATACAATTTAGTACAATGTATGTACAACCACAAAAGAACTTTCGATAAGTATGCAGCCTCGAGAAAAAATACTCTAGATTCGCTATTTATACTGTTTAGTACAATGTTTGTACAACCACAAGAAAACACTCTCGATAAGTATGCAGCCTCGAGTAAAACACTCTCGATATGTATGCAGCCTCGAGAAAAACACTCGATATGTATGCAGCCTCGAGAAAAACACTCGATATGTATGCAGCCTCGAGAAAAACACTCTCGATATGTATTCAGCCTTGAGAATCAAAAATATCGATATGTATGCAGCCTCGAGAAAAACACTCTCGATATGTATTCAGCCTTGAGAATCAAAAATATCGATATGTATGCAGCCTCGAGAAAAAAAACCTCTCGATCCACTTTTTATACAGTTTAGTACAATGCATGTACAATCATAAGAAAAACTCTCGATATGTATGCAGCCTCGAGAAAAACACTCTCGATATGTATGCAGCATCGAGAAAAAAAACCTCTCGATCCACTATTTATACAGTTTAGTACAATGCATGTACAATCATAAGAAAAACTCGCGATATATTTGCAGCCTCGAGAAAGAACTCTCGATCCGCTATTTATACGGTTTAGTACAATGTATGTACAACCACAAGAAAAAACTCTCGATATGTATGCAGCCTCGAGAAAAAAATCTAGATCCGCTATTTTTACGGTTTAGTATAATGTATGTACAACCACAACCACAAGAAAAAACTCTCGATATGTATGCAGCCTCGAGAAAAAAAATCTAGATCCGCTATTTATACGGTTTAGTACAATGTATGTACAACCACAACCACAAGAAAAAAATCTCGATATGTATGCAGCCTCGAGAAAAAAATCTAGATCCGCTATTTATACGCCAGTAAGAAGAGAAAAAGAGGTATACAGCCACAGGAGTAAAATCTAAATATACAACAACCTGAAAAACAGGTATACAGTATTGACAAAAGCACATCTACAGCGACTTACAAAACAATATACAGAAACGACATAGAAGGTGGACAGCAACGAGAAAAACAGATACAGCAATGAAAAAACAAGTGCACAGCAATGAAAAAACAAGGTATACAGCAATAGGGATACAAGGTATACAGCAATTAGTAAACAAGGTATACAGCAATGAGAAAACAAGGTATACAGCAATGAGAACAAATAGGTATACAGCAATGAGAAAACAAGGTACACAGCAATGAGAACAAAAAAGTATACAGCAATGAGAAAACAAGGTATACAGCAATGAGAAAACAAGGTTTACA